GGACAATATTTACCCCCTCCCAGCGCCCTGACGAATATTTGCGATAGCTTACGAGCGCTTAGGGATAAAAACGCCAAACTCTCCGTGCCTTTTCCCCCATCAATTTCACATCCCTTGGAGTAAAAAAATTGGACCCAGCCCCCTTGATGACGTCACAAAGTCGATTTTCCTGGACCCTTGCACGGCAAATTTTGACGTCACAGACATGAATTTCAAACAGCTGCCAAAAATAGAGTTTAAGAGATAAAGACAAAATTACGAGCACGGTTGTATATCGTTTGACGTACGGGGCAAATTGTTAGCCTGAGGTCAAATGTCAGGTCAATGACTCCAAGCCGGGTTTGAGTTTTTCTTTTTTTTCGCAAATAACTTCCACAAAAATGGTCATTGAGCTACAGCAGAACTAGAAGTACCAAAGCATTTGTCTTGTCAAGTCGCGTCGAGTGACATATATTTTGTTTGGAAAAGGTCAAGTTTGATGTTGACCTCATGTGACCTCGAATGACCTTTAGATGACCTTGACATATGAAAGGTCGTTTATAGTGAATTCATAGCCGCTGATCACGAACCTGGCATTTATTTTACCCTGAGCAATAATCATTCATTTTATGACAAATGAAATTTTATTTAAAGAAAAATGTGTGCCTTAGAATCGTCTTGTAAAGACGCTTCATTTGGCACCTTTTATGTTTTCGTAGCTCCCTTGGGGGCGAAAAACGCCCCTTCCCCTACCCCGCGGGCTCGGGTGGTTGGGATTACCTCCGGTCCCGGTCGGGCCCTCGCCAGGCCTGGGCCTTTTTCATAACACGGACGGCCACGGGTGGGGCTCGACCCCCTGGCGACTGGCTCCTATGGCTATTGATTGATTAAGTTGAAGTTTAGCACATTGCATCATATTGCATATCATTCGATTCGGCTGACCACAAGGTTAACACAATGACACCATTTTTGAAGCTCTAGCCTTATTGTGTGCCAAGTTATTGGCAAAAACGTAGTTTGACCTCATTTGACCTCAGATGACCCGACCTAGGTGTTTTTTCAGCCAGAACACACCGGATTTATCCCGCGCCCTGGTGGGGTCTGTTTATAACGCGACCTGGGGGGGGGGCTATTTTTTGCCCCCCCCCCCCTCGTATCTCCGAAACTACTGGACGGATCCGCAAAATTCAAATGGCGTTCGAAAGACCTGTCAAATTTGTCGAAGGAAACCGAATTTCATTGACCTCGGGGTCACCGATGACGTCACAGGTCAGGTCAAAGATGAAATGTTTCACCGTTCACGGGTCTTCTAGGGAATGCGCTATAACACCGAGGAAAACGCATTTTGTCGAGAATCAGCGGTAGGGCGTCAGTTGCCTAGTAGATATGTTGCTATTAGAGGTCACTGGCAATACCAGGTCAGGTCACAGGTCAGGTCACCAAGGGTCACAAGTCAGGTCACATGAGCCCAACTTTACTAAGGTTGTGTGATACATGTTTTATGGCCAATTTTTCATTTCCAACTCAATGGTGTTGGTTATAAGACTATCAGGTACGGCTTAGGTCACTTTCTGGTGAAGTTCAGGTCAAGGTCAGGTCAAGGTCAGGCCAAAAAGGTCAAATTTTAAAGTTGATAGTTTTGCATGAAATGGGTATTGAATCGATGCAGCTCGTCACGGGGAGTCTAATGGTGGTCTTTGTTTTGCGCTACGGGGTCTAGAATTGCTAAAAATTGAGTTTGAAAATTTGACGTCATCAATTTTGAACAGTTTTTTTGCTATAACTTCGCCAAAAAAAGAGGTATCAATCTCAAATTTGGTATGTGGATGGAAGGCGGTAAGGACTATCACATATAATCCGGTTTTTGCGAAATTCAAAAAACTTTTTGGATTTTTCTATTATCATATCCAAAAAATCTATTTTTTGATTTTTGGGGGTCAAAATCCAAAAATTTCAAAAATCCGAGAGAGCAGTTTTGTAGCCCTGTCCGACTTTCAGCTTTTATGTCTGAATCATTTTTCTGTATTTGCAAAGCTATAGGCCTGACAGCTCTTCCCGCGAAACCCTTTTTTGGGTCGAAAACGGCAGAACATGACGTCACTCTGACGTCATTTCCGGCCAACCTATCATAGGCTTTGGAAATTTTTTTGGTCACAATGTGTAAAATTGATGTCCGGGAGGGTACTGAAAGTTTGGTGACGATCGGCGCAGCGGTTCTGGAGATATATTGAAAAGTCTGGAGGGGGGGGGCAAAAAATAGCCCCCCCCCCACCAGGTCGCGGGATATCTTCAATTATCCTAAAACAGCACAAAAACGTTAAAATGAAGCATATTTTTTTTATAATTTGAGCTATTTGGACACATTTTCTTGAAAATTGTCGTGACCTCTAGATGATCTCAGGTCACCTGAATTTGGAAAACTTGGATAAAGGTCATATAACTCAGTGAGTTTACCATACGCTGCCAGTTTGAATGAAATTGAAGAACAATTCTGGATTTCATTGACAAAATAACGTATTTTCAATGCCATTTTGACCATGTACTGTTTTTTGTGACCTTGGGACCTGACCTGAGGCCACTGGAACACAAAACTTTTAGGTCACATGTCAACTGGTTGTCCCAAGTTGTGTTGGTGAAATTCCCCTGGTCCAGCGAGGTGGGGAGGGGCATTTTTTGCCCCGCCGCCCCCCCCCCCCACCCCACCACCTTTTTTGCCCCCGTGAATAGCTTTTACACATTGTGATAAAAAATTTCCAAAGGCTAGGATATTTTGGCCGCTAATGACGTCAGAGTGACGTCATTTCTGCCATTTTCGACAAAAAAAGGTTTCACGGGAAGAGCTGTCAGGCCTACAGCTTTAGAGATAAAGAAAAACACTGAAGACATAAAAGGTGTAGAATTAACAGGGCTACCCAACTGCTATCGGGGATTTTTAAAATGTGTGGATTTTGATCCCTTAAAACAAAAAATAGGGTTTTAGATAAAATAGCTGAAAAAGCAAAAAGTTTTTTGAATTTCAAAAAAAAAACAGAATATTGTGATAATCCCTACCGCCTTCTATTCACATACTAAATTTGAGAACGATACCTCTTTTTTTGGCCAATTTATAGTAAAAAAATGTTCAAAATTGATGACGTTAAATTTTCAAACTCAATTGTTAGCAATTCTAGACCACGTGGCGCAAAACAAAGACCACCATTAGACTCCCCGTGAAGAGCTGCATCTATCCCATTTTTATGCAAAACTATCAGCTTTAAAATTTGACCTTTTTTACCTGACCTTGACCTGACCTCGACCAAAAAGTGACCTAAACCGTACCTGATGGTCTTATAACCAACACAATTGAGTTGGAAAAAAAAAATGGGCCATAAACCATGCATCGCACAACCTTAGTAAAGTTGGATTAATGTGCTGACCCTTGGTGACCCTACCTGTGAGCTGACCTGGTATTATCAGTGACCTCTAATAGCAACATAGGGGAGACCCGGGAGGTGTGGGCCGGATTTTTGCTATCGATTGCTTTTCCATGCGTTTTTCTAGCTATCATAGTTCCTGAGATAACGGCATGTTTTCTTAAAAAAAAAAAAAATAGGTAAGGAGTAAGGACATTTGGCAAATTTTGACCTTTGATTACCTCTGGTGACCCAAATGTTGCTCTAAGATGAAAAATGACTGAAATACTTTCAAACATACGCATTGAGAGCTATTGACTGCTTTTTACTGCGTAGCCCTCTTAGTTTTTGAGGTAGAGGTGGGTGGTAACAATAACATATGCCCCCCCCCCTACTACTATGGCGAAGTTGGCTGAGATCACCACTGGGGCGCGGGTTAACTAGGATTAAGGCGTTGAAGAAAATGTTTCAACTTTCAAGGAATATGTAGAGCTCTGCAGAAATAATTTGTGTAGTTATTGTTACAACTGTATCCGCCCTCGAACGATAAATATTGTTGCCGCGCCGCAGCGCCGCCGCTCTGGCATGATGTTTGACTTTATACCCATGTTATTAGAAAGGTCGTTGGACCGATTTGCATAATTCTTGCGTGACAGGGTCCGCTATTCAATTCTTAGCGGGTACCGAAAATTTGACGTCAATGGCACGATATCCGCCGCCCATACTGCGGTACCTACTGCCATTCAGCCATCTATTGAAAAAGCTGGAGAACTATGTATAGCCGTGCGGCTATTTCCACTTCTGACACACCATGGTTTTATTATAAATAGCGGGAAAACTCGTTGCCGTTAGGCACAGCAAAAATTAGCATGATTATTTCCCCATCAATTTCACACGATGTCAGCCTACTACAAGTTTTGGCCTCCTATGTTCCTGGTTCAGGTTATCAGTTTTTTTTTTGTGAGATGTGATAAGGGCTGCGGTGAACCTGAAAGTAAGAAAGTAGGTACATCCTTCTTATCATCTCTGGAAGTCTAATCTAACAGCAAATTTTGCATGCACTGAAAACAATTTAACCCAAGGCCGGCGAGTAAACCGGTGTTTCGCAGGTGCCCCTATCCGCAACAATTTTCATCTGCACCCTCCCAGGAGTACAGTAAGGTCCCATTGCAGTGTAGTCGTCCCTGCTCTCAGCGGACATGTTCGCTGACAGCGGTTATATCCGCTCAGAGCAAGAGTTCACCGCAATGGGACGGGACCTATAGCACTACTCCTGGGAGAGTGGTAAAATGGTTGCGGATAGGGGTACCCATGAAACACCGGAATACTCACCGGCCTTGGGTTGAAATTAATTAAATTGTTTTCAGTGTGTGTGAATGATCGCGAGTCGCGACGGTGTCTGAAGATGAATAAAAATGGCAGCTCTAGGTGCTAGAGGTGACTTATCTGGATTATTTTAGCACGATCAACTTGATGCTTACGATCCTCAACGAAATAAGTTATTTAAATGAATCGGAGAATCAGGTTACATTTATTTAATATTTTGTTTGCAAAACCACAAATATTTCCAAATTGCAATAGATGTTCATCTCTACTTCATTGACGTCATTCAAAATGGCTGACAGCGGAGGTTTGCCTTTTTTGTGTTATTTTTGCATTTTATTTTGTTTCTTTCGATTAATTAGGATGTCCTATTCCAGATTTGATATGAAACTCTTACCAATTTGAGCTTATTTCTCCGGGGTTTGATGAAATTTGCTTGAAAGTGAATTACGGCATACACTGCGCAGATATTTCGTAATATGCGCATTGTGTTTTGAAAGCTGATTTGGGTCTTTCACATCAAAATAATAATTAATACGCGGTAACTTAGATATCATTGGTGGTCAAATTTTCTGAAATTAGATTAAGGAAATCATGTCGCAGCAAGGTAAATCTTTAACTCATGCTTTTGATCTAAACATATGTGTAAAGCTGCCTGGATGGGTGCGATTGTGAAGCATTGAAAGTTTGGGTTGGATTATTTTATTTTTTACATGTCAATGTGCATTTTGAGCTTACACTGTCAGGTGATGAGAAATGCTACACAAATTACGGTAATGTTTAAATAGATGGTATCTTTTGTTTCAGTTTCTTTCATTGTGCACAAAGATAAGAACAATTGCGAGTTTCAGTTTTACATGTTATTGTAACATCAACATGTAACAACTTTTGTTTGTTTTTTAATTATATTTTATTCTCTTTGATTGTATTGATAGTACCTGCTCATTCATGAATTATTTAAAATGTATGGAATACGTTTCGTTTGACTTTTACATATATTAATGTCATTTATTAAATAAGTTTGATGTTTTGTGTGGCTTCTGCTGCGTAATCGTGCCACTTATCAATCCAATTGATAACAAGGGTTTTAGTTGCTACTAAGGGTGCCATATACCTATTTTGACCCCATGAGGCTAATATATGACATCACTCATCACTCATCAGCATCATGTCTTTTTCATGCTGGGTAGGGTCAGGTGTTCTACAAAAATTTTCGTTTTTGTACACTTATTTATCAGTGTGTCAAAGATTTCATGAAAATAATGTGCTTGTCCTCTTGAATTTTAAAGACATCATTTTTTAATCATTAAATGTTTTTGTTGTATTAAACAACTGTTAATTTGTTAATTATGCAAACATAAATATTAGGTAGGTACCTAGGTACTTACCCCAAACAATACAAATATCCTTTTTTGGAAGGACGTAGGTATATCTCACTTTAAGAAATGTTTCATGCAGTTAGTTCCTTCTCGTCAAAGGAATTGAGTTGGTACTTATGCATTGGGTACTTCAAATTATGCATCAATATTCTTTTGTTTGAATTGTCAAATGCAATTCTTCATCCGCTGCCTGCTAATGCAATAATTCAATTTAACACATTTCAAGTCCCATTGCAGTGTCTTCCTGTGACAGTTATGTATTTGACACTCATTGTTTTTCAGTTGCATGAATGTACCCACATCAAACAATAAACACATTTACCTACATATTGTCTTGGTTTTTGCTTTGGTAATTTGCCAATTTTATGTTTCAGATTCAAATGATACACCAAAGGCTCAGTCTACTGGGTCAGATAAGGTGAGATGAATATCATTCATGTCTGAAGCTCTTGTGTAAACAAACACTGATTGTTGCTCAGTGTTTTGTAGTGCTTCTTTGTGCAAAGTATTTATGCCATGATGATTATAGGCCATATGTTTTTACACAAGATGTACCCCTTGCCTGCAGGAATCGATGGACAGATTCACAGATCCCCCAGAGAGCAGCGACTGCAGCAACCACAGTACAACAGGTAAGGTATTCAGCAGCCTGCCATGAGACATCCAGTGTGCCCAACTCTGAATGCCCTCCATGTAGAATACTCCCTTTCAGCTCTTGACTGCAGACTAGGGGTTGACACAGCACTTGCTTTTTTCACAACACCCCAAAATATGTACAGATAAAAATAGTTTTCACATAGCCTTAAGTTTCTTACATCCTAAAAGGTTCAAGATTTGCCCGTTGTGATCAAAATTGTCAGGGAATAATGTTCAGCATGTGAATGCTTTCAGGCCAGGATGAGGGACATCTAAACTTAGGTTACAGTTTGGTAATCATTTGTTATTCTTCTCAAAGACTGTGCAGTGTCTCGACCCTAACTTTTATTATTACCTATGCTAGTCTACATAGAATGACAGTGCAGCGCCGAACACACGTATTATTAACCGTCGTTGTTCTATCTCCGCAGACAAAGACAGTGAGGTGTCGGACTCTGACTCGCGACTCGGCTCGGCTCGAAATGAGGCGGCGGCCATGCCCCAGCCTCCGCTGAGGCCACGACCGGCGGCTCCCTACCACCAGAGCGCCAACAGTGAGTTTCCGCTGACCAGCCTGCTCTCTGTGACTGGCTAGCTGGGCTGGCGATCGGCATTACTATTGATACCCACCGCACAGCTGTGGGTAGCTCACCGCACAGCTAGAGAGCTATTTCTCTGTTATGTCTCTTCTTTATCCGTTTTCTGTGTTTTGTGCATGATTGAAATAAAGGAATGGAGATGTACTCCTACCAAGACAATATAGAATGTGCCGTGGCTCATCAGCAATACATTTCTGTAGGTACCTTCAGTAGGATTTTGAGGACGTTTTCCGAAATAGTGTAATGCCCAGCTAGAAGTCATTTATACCGTATTTGACACACTTGTTAACCACTGACCGCCCCCCCCCCCTCCCCGGCAGGCGGGTCGGCCGGCAGTGTGCTGGCGCCCTCTCGGCTCGGTAACCCGTTCGCGCGCGTGGCGGCGCCGGTGGTTCGCAGTAGCGCGGACAGCTCGGAGCACCGCCCGCTGTCCGGCGGCGTGCTGGCGCCCTCGCGGCTGGGCGGGGTCGGCGGCAGCGCGGCGGCTGTCTCCTCGAGCCGCTCCGTGCTGCGGCCGTCAGCACTCTCCGTCCCCGCCGCCAGCCTGAAGACGCCCGAGACGAACGGCCTCGGCGGCAGCACGTTCACACTACATCCGCCCAAATTCAACAACCCGTTCGCCGCCAAAGGTGCGCGGTGTGGGAGAAGGAAGGGGACTAGGCGTTGGAGAGGGCTCGAAAGATAGAGGGTGGTTGCAGCATTGAAGCTTCATTTCTGCACGCGAACGTTTTTAAACAGCAGACGTCTGTCAGTAGACTGCTGTTTAGATGGACTAATTATAGGTTAGTATGACGATGTCTGCTTGTTGATAGCGGCACTTTCACATAGCCGTCAATACATTTGATTGTAAGGGGGTGGGGCCCTACACATAGACTGACCTTACACGGAGGCGTCATGTAGCGGCCAGCGGGCCCAGGAGACCGCTAAGTGACGGTGAGGAGCGGAAAGGTAAGGAAACCTCGACTGTAAAGGAACCTCGACTTACCGACTTGACAGGTGTATGCAAACATTGAGCAATGCCCTTACAGGTGTGATACACTGACAATCGTTTTCGATCCTTTTATCCAGCACCGTCAGGAGACAACCCTGACTAACTGGTGTACCTTGTCCCCTCAGCCGCACCCGAGGAGGACTCTGAGGACAGCCCGGCGGCGCCCGAGTGCGCCTCAACGGAGACGGCTAGCCGCCGACCCGCCGGAGCCGCCCCTGCTGCCGCTGCCGCCGCCGCCCCGCCGGCGGTCAACGAGACAGTGACCAGCACCAGTGGCAGCAACGGCTTCACCCTGCAGGCGGCCGCCGAGCGACGGTGAGGAAAAGGGAGGGCTACTCTACACAAATTCTGACCTCAGGTTCTGTAGGGAGTTAATGCGGCGGTAGTCGGCCTCCGAGTGATGGTGAGGGGAAAGAGGTTGCCCTGATCATAGATTCACTGAACTGAACTCGTACAGTAGGTTTGGGAGTTGCCCAGCGATGGTGAAGGGCGGAGAGAATGCTCTAATCACATACTTAACTTCTACTCAAAGCAGATTCTACCTATTCTGCGGGCCGTGCGGCCGACTGCGACGTTCCGTGTGGTTTGGTAGTTCAGACTTCAGAGCACTCTTTGATTGCCTTCTGACTAGCCTACCTTCCCCCTCCCTCACAGCTCTGAGGAGACCGAGTCGGCGTCCATCTCCTCGTCGTCGGGCGCCGGCGGCGGCTTCGTGTTCGGTCAGAACCTCGAGGACCGCGTAACCAACGCGGCAGCGGCCGCCGCTGAGCCGGCCTCCGCCGTCTCCTCGTCCGGCGACGAGCCGCCGGCTGAGGGCGCCACCGGCGAGCCGGCCGGCGACCAGGCGGCGCCACCGTCGCAGCCGGCGGCCGGCCTCAGTCTGCGCGAGTCGGCGGCCGTGTATGAGAAGCAGCGCACCTCCAAACGGAAGTATGATGAGGTGGAGGTGGTCACCGGAGAGGAGGAGGAGAGCAACGTGCTCCAGGTGGGTGACGGTGATAGGACGGTGGCCAGTGAACTGCGATAATGGGAAGCCGTACAGGGTACTGTGAGGCGCCGTTGGGCGCAGGATAAAGACAATGTCTGGTTAAGATTCTGTGGATTGTTTTAGGTTTCGGACCATACGATTGCATATTTTGGGTCCAACGTTATTTTGTAATACGTTCAACAAATCTTTTGGACTATTTGGTGACAGATTAACACCTACAGCATAACGGCATCACCCATACTCATTGATATAAAGCACCACCATTTCACGGCTTATTAATTTCGTCTAATGACGCCTGTTGTGTTCTTTTCAGATCAACTGTAAGCTGTACGCGTTCAACAAGGAGAACTGCTCGTGGCTGGAGCGGGGCCGCGGTCTACTGCGGCTCAACGACCGGCGGGAGGAGGCCGGCGGGGGCGGCCCGCTGCAGTCGCGGCTCGTCTTCCGGACACAGGGCAGCCTGCGACTGGTGCTCAACACTAAGGTACGTACACGTGGGCCCAATTTCACCAAGTGCGGTAAACTCAACTTGGAGGTAGTTTTTTTGTAGTTACGTAGTGTAGGGTAGTTTGGTAGTTTACCCCAAATTGAGTTTACCGCACTTGTTGAAATTGGGCCATGATGGGTGGTGGGAGATTGATAAAATCAGCTGCCGTATCATAACAGTCGAACCCAAGTGACACTAATTAATATTCGCTGCATTTACCTACATGTACACAATTTGTTCACTAGCCAGCTGCTTAGACTGCGCTACCCAAGTTGGCCGACACACCAGTGTTGTCGATGTTTCATTTTTCCACCGTCACCGAACTGCAGCTATTGTCGCCAATTACACTGGGTCCGCTCCGTTCGACCGTCGACTAACCGCTACCATGTGCCTGTTCTGTCAGATCTGGCCGGCGATGAGTGTGGAGAAACCCAGCGAGAAAGATGTGCGAGTCACTGCCATGGACAACGACCAGGTCAAGGTCTTCCTCATCAAGGTGAGATAGAGATCAGCATCCGGACCGATCACTGCTCCGGGGGTTTAGTTAGATGACAAGAAGTGTTTGATGAGGACGGTCTTGCTACTTGTTAGATTATGAAGCTGACGTGAACTGAATACATTTATAGAATCAGGTTCCCGTCATGGACCCCCTTTTTAAGGGTAGTACCGACGGGAAATTTTCCGATCGAAAGTAAGAAGTGCAGTTTCAGTTTCAAGTTTCAACCCAGTTTCACCAAGTGCGGTAAACTCAATTTGGGGTAAAATACCAAACTACCCCACTCCGTAACTACAAAAATACTGCCCCAAAATTAAGTTAACCTAACTTGGTGAGATTGGGCACTTGGCCCAATCTCACCTGGATCGCTTTTTATGAACTTTGATCGGAAACTAAAACGAATCATAATTCACAAGTAAAAAATGGATCGGGGAGATGAATGCAGCATCTATTGTACATCTCATGCTCTGCTCCTGCGTCGCACGCATGTCTGACTGCCGTTTTCGGTCGTGTTTTCAGAGCAGCACCAAGGACGCCGAGCTGCTGTTTAACGCTCTCGACTACCGACTGAGCGGTCTCCGAGCGGCCGAGTCGGCCGACGGTTCCGATGCCGAGGCAGCCGCCAAGAAGGCTCGGCAACAGGAGGGCGACGCCTCCCAGAACTGAGCCCCCGCTGACCCGGGGAGAGAAGTCGACCTCTGAGCTGCCGGGCCGGCTCGGCGGCCGCGTCTGTCTGTCGGCTGGGTGGGCAGGAAATGTCTGCACTGGCGTGGACTTTCTACTACGGAGTGTTACCGAGTGCCGGCTTGTGTCTGTATCAAGAGAGACATTCTGGTGTGGTACGCTTAGTACGCTCAGTCGGCGTATGAGTGCATTTGACTTAGGCTCCGAACGACAGACGTTAAATGGGAGACAACTGTGATTTAGTTCGATGAGTATCGGATTATGTTCGACATCCTAGAAATGCGTCAGACGAGCCATGAGTCGCGGTGGACTGAGAGTCGCTTTTGCCGGACTGGTACTGGTGTGGCCGAGGTAGCTGATCGTCCCGTCACCGTCTGCTGACGCTAGACTCCAAAGTGCTGTGGGAGAGCTGGACAGTTGGCAATACCAGCGGAAAGTGACAGTGGCGACACCTCAGTGACACTTACGGTGACGATAGTGGCAGTACCAGTGATTGTGACAGTGGCAAAGACAGTGACAGTGGACAGTGTCTGGGACGATGACTGTGGCGCAAAGACAGTTACACCGGTGACAAAGCTCCACTGGGCTGCGCGGGCCTCGCTATGCGCTGGCCCGTCGGTCATCACGCCCGATCACCGGACATCCATCTGCCCTACAGTGCCACAGTTGTGGTCACTGAGCATTGAACGATGTCGTGCCAGACGACCGAACGCATAGTGCCACTATAGTGGACAAGGACGCTTGAGTATCGGACAAACGGTGCCACTGTCAGAAATAGTACGCTGAGTGACTCCGAACAGAGTTTTCTGACCCGCTGTGACTGAAACCGATCCGCTCACGGAACGTTTCCGTGCGGACTAGACTGGACTTGCTGAATGAATCGCGTCAGAATTGAGCAAACGCTGAAGATGAGTCGTGTGGTCACCTTACGTATCAATGTGCTGGACCGACCGAGCTAGCTTGTGTGCGCGGTGCATTGCTCGCCGCTTTTCCATGTGTGGTATGTCACAACCAGCGGTCTACTTGATGTCGGTATGATTGTGGATATATGTGTAGGTGTATGCCAGCGTGCGCTTTGTCTGTGTGTATGCTCTTTGTGTGTGCTTGTGCGTGTGACAGTGGTGCTGCTCCCTCGACAGGCCAGCGCTCTAGAATGGCGGTCTGTTCGGCCGGCCGGGCAGACGCCACTGTCTGTCTGGTCAGATGTGCGTGCTGAGAGGAATAGAGTGCGCCGTCGGTACGGTCCCCAGGAACGGCCGACTGCGGAGGCTACTGGCTACGAGCTGAGTGAGAGAGCTGAGCGGTGTTTTAGTGTTGTAAATACAATAAACGTTTTGGAACTGAATAAGAATCTAAGTTCTCCGAATGCATGGGAACAGCGCGTAAAACGGTGCAGGTAAAATTGCAGATGTGAGATGGATGCTGCACTCTGTTGCGCCCAAGCTCTCCGGAAAAGCTCTCGATACTGTATTCAACCGCGACACACTCGTTACAGGACATGTTCAGTTCAGTGGAATGCCAGCTCGGGAGCGGCGCAGCCTGCCCGGCCTCTTTCCTCGCTGCGCGGGGAGCTCTCGCCTTCGCCCCCACTCCGGCGCTCTCCGTATAAAACTCGCTACATTTCGCCACTAGATCCTATCATCGCTCTCTAACTCGTAAATCCGACTCACCGCTCGCACATTGGATACGCTCACGCACCTGATGAGACCGTTCAGAAAACCGCAAATTGACGCCCTATCCACGATCAAGACACGTCACAGCGGACTCACAAAGCTCGGCAGTCCTCCGGCAGCTGGTCCCTCATGGTCCGACATTCTACATAACATCGCAGAACTCTGAAATACGGCCTAAAATCCTTAAAAACTCATCCACACCGCCTACCCTGCTGACTGGTGTAAAATTGTCTCTCGCACCCGCGTTATACTCTTTCTCTCACGGCAGCGGATGGCTTGTCCACCTTCCCCGTCCATCTTGTCTTTGGCCTATCTCTCGAAACCTCTCTCCTTTCTCAGCTGCCCTCAGGACGCGCTGGATGTGGTGCCGCGTCTAGCTCTGCCCCCAGGCGTCGGCCGGAGCCAGTGTCACCATCACCACCAGTAGGATCACCACCGTCAGCGTGGCCAGCGTGTAGACGGCCAGCACCAGTCGGCGGAGCGTCGAGCCCTGGCGGAGCGGCGCAACAGTCAGTGTCAGATATGGAGGTAACGTGCGGTTCGGGTGCAGGCAGAAAGGCTGGTTTGCGTAGATTGCCACATGGGGAAGGATGTGACTCCCCTCACTCCCGTAAGTACCCATTACGAGATCAAAGAGACTTTGGAGAGAGCCCGTTAGCCGTTACGGAAGTTCACAACGACAGTGGCGCCATCTCTGGACATGTATATCAATTCATGTCGTGCGGCACAGTATACCTTCAGGCGCTTATCAGTAGCACCATCTATTGAGAGAAACATCAAACTTTGAGCCGTGCGGCACAGTATAAATTCAGGCGCTCGCTGTCAAGCGCGCGCCGCGCAGGCCAAGCGTGGTCAAACTAAAGACCACCCTCCATTCCATTCTAACCCAATGTGTGACCACCTCCAGTGACCGGTCCTCACCTGAGCGTCTCCTTGCGCGCCGGATGGGCCTCCTTTGACGCCGTTAGCGCCCATGTCTCGCATGCTGTAGGCCTCAGAGCTATTCTTCTGCCGGGCAGCTCGGTCCGCCGCGCACTGCTGCGTCTGTGACGTCATTTATGGTGACGTGAGCAGTCAACCTTAGCGTGACGTGTCGGTAATAATACACAGGGAAGGGCGATAAGCCTTCAGATCGTGATTATTTAGTAAACGTTCCCGTAGGAGTGTGAACCTCCAGGAAAGCATCTATGCACTTCATGCAGAACAGTCCAATGACGTTGGCACCGAATCGAGATAGTATCCGGATATTGTACTGTTATATCTACATACGGTTTACCAGCCTCTACCCCTCTCGACCCCGCCACCGCCATGACGTACCGAGAGCACCAGGTGGGTCACCACGTGCATCACCACGAAGGCGGCCAGCACCCAGTAGGTCCAGAAGGGCAGCTGGGCGGCCGGCAGCGTCACTGCCAGGAAGATGGTGATGATGCCGAGCAGGTGGGCGGCTGAACCCACCAGCCAGTGGAGCCAATTGAAGACGGGCCGACGGGAAGCCGTCGGGGCACACCGGAACAGCGCCATGAACGGCTGAACGAACGCCAACGCTGGAACGGAGGGAGAGCGTTAGAAAATCAGACCAGTGCACGGTGTGGGGGAAGGAAAATGACATGTTTTCCGCGTTGTTCAACAAAGCTATTTCCTGTTGAATTCGATGTATGATTGTCTGTCCTGTCGGCAAACTCATTCGTCTCCCATGCTTTCCCTATCTTCATCTCTTCATCTCTGTCGGGAGTTTTCTTCCACTCAGTCATTCCTCCTTTCTCCCTGCATTCTTATTTCGCTATCCCTCCATCTTTTTCCTTTCTCACTTGTTCCCTGTCTCCCAGCCTCCATCCCTCCCTCCCTCCCTCCCTCCCTCTCCCTCTCTCTTCTCTCACCGATGCAGATGATTCCCAGGAGCGGGTGCGGGTTCACACTGGTCGGTGTGCTCGTCCAGCCCTCCAGCTGAACCAGAATACACACCAGGCCAGCCAGACTGCACAGAACCGTCAGCACCATCAGGTTACGGTGCGCCACGAACCACAGGTCCAGGCCGGCCACCTTTCGGCCCACCCAGGTCTGTTTGAAGTAGCGCGCCAGCATCATGCCCAGGCTGGCGGTGCCGAGCCAGGCGACAATCATGAGTGCCCCGTGGGCTCGGTACAGAGTGCCCGAGTCGGAGGCAGCGCCGTAGACCCGCGCGCCGCCCGCGCTGGAGGAGAGGGGTACGGGCGCGCCCGTCACTCGCTTGGTGCCCAAGTGGTACTGCGGCCGACGCTCCACGTCCGCTGGGGAAGAGAAGAGGGGGTCAGGTGGGAGTGTCCTCAGAAGGAGCTTAGAGTTAACGGAGGAGATCGATCAGGTTCAGGAGTCAGGCTAAATTGCATTTGGAACGATGACTGAGAGATCGAACAATTTGTCATCTAGCTCACGGCGATCCTAATCTTGATATAACATTGTAGCCGGCTGATTAACGAGATGCTAATGTTCGCTAAATTCATCAAAAATGTAATTGATCTTTGTCACCAATTACCGGCATGAATAATCACCAGAGCTCACCACCACATCACCGATACCGACGGGTGACCGTGGTGACGCCTTACCAGAGGTGGTGCCGGAGGCTATCATCAGGTGCAGGCCGTCCTTGCCCAGGTCAAAGTCCTGGCCTCGGATGGTGAAGCGCGCTGAGTGGGTGAACTCGCAGATCAGCAGACCGTCCCGGTACTGGCTGGTGACGTCACTGACCAGCAGACCCTCCTGGGGGAGGGGGGATGGTCACACGGTGCAGCTGGGGGGGGGGGGGGCACACCAAGCAGGAAATACGCAACAGCACTTATCGCTGGCAAGTGCAACTGCTCACAAAGTTTCTCGAGTCGAAATAAAGATACAACACGGTCCACAATGCTACAAAACTCCTTATTAACCCTCGCCCGCACATGGGGGGGGGGGTTGCCACCCCATCCCCCCAGGTAGTCTTTCTGCTCTGCACTCGACATTTTTAGAGCTAGAAGGCTGATTTTTCGTATAGCTGCTCCTCTATCCTTTCTTGATGTCCACTGAAGATTTCAAGTTTCTGTGATTTTTGGTTTCGGAGATATGACCTTGTTTTTCAGGTCATGTCATGACCCAAATGGCCAATTCTCAACATCTTGCGTTTGCCATGGGCCTTGTCGGCTTTTGACACCCTGATTTCGGCCTTTTTTGCCAGTCTTACCTCCCACCTATCATGGAACATGTTCGACGATGTACAGGGGTCAAGGTCAGGGTCAAGGTCAACCTAGGTCATCTAAGATAATTGCGTTTTAGGCAGGGATGCGGAGCCGTGGAAATTTCAGACGGCTCCGGCTCCGGCTCCGGCTCCGGAGAAAAAAATCGGCTCCGGCTCCGGCTCCGGCTCCGGGTGAAATGGTATGGCGGCTCCGGCTCCGGCTCCGGCTCCGAGTAAAATGGTCCGGCTCCGGCGGCTCCGGCTCCGGCGGCTCCGGCTCCGACTCAGTACATCCCCTACGCAATCAATTAAATACGGGTGGAAGAAAAATTGGATTGGTTATACGCGTTACTCTTTGCCATGACCGGCTCACCGCGTCCCCGCGCAAACGCACCTCGGAGAGAACTGGCAGAACAAAGGGCTAGGAAGCGATGGCATTGGAAACGCAGTCGCCGCGAATCGGATCGGAGTTCAGTGAACCATCGTAAGCTGACACCCGTCTCGGCTGCATTGGGGGGTGAGGGGTGGGGGGGGGGATGAGACGGTGCTGGGAGTCGCAGTCCACTGCACTGGTTTGAAAACAATGGCCGTCACCTGATGACTGGTCCTCATGTTCTGGGGATGCAGTAGACGTGGGGGGGGGGGGGGGAAGAGCAAACAGGAAGTTGTTTGCGTACTGTGGGATACTGGGGATATTCGGATTTTTTCATTCACTTGATGGCCCATGACGTAAGTACCATATCGTTTTACTGCCTTGTACTGTCAAACCGAACTAGGTCAATTATTTTTTTCCTCTTCAAAAAATAAAAAGGAGCCGGAGTCGCCCCCTTTTTTGGCGGCTCCGGCTCCGGCTCCGGCTCCGGGCTATATTGTTTCACGGCTCCGGCTCCGGCTCCGGCTCCGGGCAAAATATGCCGGCTCCGGCGGCTCCGGCTCCGACTCCGGCTCCGGCTCCGCATCCCTGGTTTTAGGCAAGCTGAATTTACTTTTTGTGAAGTTTTTTGACTGCATTTTTGGTGAAAGATTCTCAGATCATGATTTCATGTAATATGGACCCAAAAACAATCGGTGCACACATCCGTATACACACAGACACACACAGACATACAAACACATATAATTGACCTTGACCTAACTTGACCTGAAATGACCTCAGCAGCAAAATTCTGGTCGGGTAGTGTGACAAAGAGGTTCTAGCTGGCTTGGCACCAGAAAACAGCATCGTCATCGGTATTTGATAAGCAGCGCACTTGATATCCAACGGTGACCCAAAACAGCAACATTTTTTAGTTTGACCTGACCTGGAAGGTCAATGACTGACCTGAGGAGGTAAAACTGGGTATCATTGGATTTGTCTCTTCCCAAAGAATCTTTTTGGTCTTTACCGCTAAGCTCTATCTCCAACAGGAACGAAATGGCGCGGGGGGGTGGCAACCACCCCCCCCCCCCATGTGCGTTCTAGGATGGGAAAATGGCATGTGC